TCATGAAACATGACGTGTGAAACATGACGTGTGCACGGCATGTTTCATGAAACGTGAAGCGACACATGTGGACCTGGTAAAGACACAATTTGTTTGATGTGTTGTTGTAATTTGCACTTTAAATAATCTGATCATGTTTATGTTGACCCAGATTAATTGATCGCTTGTGTTTGTTGAACAATAATCCCACGTTAAATCAACACCGAGGTCAAAAACACAGAAAGTTCAGCTCTACTTCAGTGAATCGTCCACGTTCGGCTGGCGTTGAGGAAAAAGAGCTAAAGTTCTGAAAACGGCTGTTCAGCCTCCTGTGGCCCGTTTGGACCCAGAATGACGGTTCTGAAGCCCGAGCTGCAGGTCCAGACAGGACTGGGTTTAACCGTGGATGTCTATGGGGGTTTGTAAGGTTTTCTAAAGCGGCACATTTTATTTTGTAGGTTTCATTAAATCTGCAGGAGGAAGAACGAGCAATTATTGTGACAGACAGGAAGTTAACGAGCAAACGTTCAAACATCTGACGCTCCTGAGGTGGAACTTTCCATCCCAAGTCCTGACTTGTGGTTGGAAGGAACCAGAGCAGGAACATCCCATCATCACGACTCCCGTCTGAAAACACCTCCAGCACCTTCAGGACAGGATCCGGAGGAACCAGACCATAATTCAGGATTACTGAGAGTCTTCTCAGAGCTGTGGTGCATTCAGGAGCTGTGGGAGAAACAAACGTTCTCACTCAGCACAAACGTGTCAATCTGACCAAAGCTGCACACACGAAGACCTCGGGTCCTAAAGACTGGGGGCCGACCCGCATCAGATCCTGGTTCTGTTAGTCTCACGCTGAAAGACGTGAAGGAGAGCAGTTTTAAGGACCTTCAGAACCTGATCCAACCCAGTCCATGAGGGTCACTGAAACCTAACCATCATCACCAAAGACCGTCTGCTGGTTCTGGAGACTCTGGACCAGAACCCAATCCACAACAAGCCTGAATCCCCACAATGCTACAGAACATCTGGAGGAACAAACGGATCTGAGAGCTCATCAGAGTTTTACCCTCCAGACAAAGACCAGGACCAGATCCTCCAGACAAAGACCAGGACCAGGTCCTACAGACAAAGACCAGGACCAGGTCCTCCACACCAAAAACCAGGACCAGGTCCTACAGACAAAGACCAGGACCAGGTCCTCCACACCAAAAACCAGGACCAGGTCCTCCAGACAAAGACCAGGACCAGGTCCTCCAGACAAAGACCAGGACCAGGTCCTCCAGACAAAGACCAGGACCAGATCCTCCAGAAAAAGACCAGGACTAGGTCCTACAGACAAAGACCAGGACCAGGTCCTCCACACCAAAAACC